ATGCAGTCATTTTTACTGCTTTGGGCAATATAGGTATATACTAAGTTTCAGTCTTTCTAGTGTTAAACAGAAAACGGGAACGCCGAATGACAAGATTTAGATAACAGAAAAATTCTATTGCACTTAAATCATTAATTGCCGTGCAGAAAATATGTACTGATTACGTTATCAGTAAAGGAATGACACATTTGGTATCTACGTACATGAATTTACTTCTACACAAATTTCGTTTTTAATCATCAATTTTTATTGTAATTCTTGAATAAAGAAAATGTAATTGTTAATGAGAATTCCTCATTCTCCGGTGCGTGAATCACGTGTTTTTAATTCACGTCCTTGGGCTCACGACGACAGCAACGAAGGAGAATAAAAGAGATTAAAGGAAGAAGCTCATAAAATTGGGAAACCAGAGATTTTTGCGTACAAAAGTAATCGCAAATCTACTCGAAATAATGACACGGTGATTTAACAATGATAACAAAAATACAGAAATGTATTCCAGCTGGCATTGTTACGGCGCAGGAAAAAGTGAATTCATTTGTCCGTGACAATAACGTATTGTCAGGTACGAAACAATGCGTTGACAACGACAGGGTATCACGACGGCTCGTTAGGATCGTAGCTGTCAAAGGCTGCGTTTATGACACCTTCGATTCACCCGCTGCTGCTCTGCCGTTACCAACAATACTAATCGTTTTTCTCTACAAAAGGAAACTGAGGATGTTTAATAATGACAAAAGAAACCGACGGGAAACACGAGTTCCTCTATTGATTTAGTAGAAAACTAACGCGCTCGGAAATATTATATCGTGCTCGTCGTGTTCCGACATTCTTTATTAAAAAGAGTATCGATTTTAACCATTGTGCAGATTGATTAAACAAAAATATTATTACGTCTCGACAGACTGAAATTCATTTCTTTTTAATTATCTTCAATTACGATTATTATTGATCCTGGACTTAAGGATGTATTGGCTNGTCTGATTTCCTTTTAAAAAATGCGTTTCTAAAGTGCATAAACTCTTGGGATTGACCTGTATAGCCAATGCATCCTTAATTATCTTCGATTACGATTATTATTGATTCTGGACTTAAATTTATGTTCTACCCTTATCGATTTCAGTATAAAATGTTATCATTAAATCAATGTACAGAATGACTGAACGAAACTATCTTTACACCTTAACAGACACATACGTTTTTTCATAAAGAAAAAAAACGTCATTTTCGAGAAAATCCAGTTTGAATTTCAATAATTGATTCATTCTAGTAAATTAAAAATGTTGTACCACGATTTCGCAATCACCTTGTATACAATTTGAACGGAATGAATAATTGGTGTTATTTTTTCTATTATTACGTCTAACGGGGATTCTTAGTGAGCCAGGACTTCCTTGTTGAATTTACGTTGACGAACTCTTGTTGGTCACTGTACCAGAGGTTGGTCGTGGCATGGTGGAACAATGGGCACGAAACACGACGGATTAAAGCAATAAAGCGATCTCCTCGTCGCGGCGTCTCCCAATGGAACCGGAGACACCCACGCGACCATTCCTCGCCCGCTTTTCACGCTCTAAACTCTATTTTAATAACCACCGTTTATCGTCTACAGGCGTACTTGTCTATACAGCGGTGGTTCGCGTCAACGTGAGACGATTTCTCTCGAAGCTCTAATCCTAATCGTTTCTCTTCTCGGAACCCGGCGACGAAGTTACGTTATAGTGATCGGCAGACGCATTTCAAGAATAACTTCCCTCCTATGTAACCGCAGCGGTTCTCACTCTCTATTTTGCGTACAAAAGTAATCGCAAATCTACTCGAAATAATGACACGGTGATTTAACAATGATAACAAAAATACAGAAATGTATTCCAGCTGGCATTGTTACGGCGCAGGAAAAAGTGAATTCATTTGTCCGTGACAATAACGTATTGTCAGGTACGAAACAATGCGTTGACAACGACAGGGTATCACGACGGCTCGTTAGGATCGTAGCTGTCAAAGGCTGCGTTTATGACACCTTCGATTCACCCGCTGCTGCTCTGCCGTTACCAACAATACTAATCGTTTTTCTCTACAAAAGGAAACTGAGGATGTTTAATAATGACAAAAGAAACCGACGGGAAACACGAGTTCCTCTATTGATTTAGTAGAAAACTAACGCGCTCGGAAATATTATATCGTGCTCGTCGTGTTCCGACATTCTTTATTAAAAAGAGTATCGATTTTAACCATTGTGCAGATTGATTAAACAAAAATATTATTACGTCTCGACAGACTGAAATTCATTTCTTTTTAATTATCTTCAATTACGATTATTATTGATCCTGGACTTAAGGATGTATTGGCTATACAGTTAATCCTAAAAATTTATGTACCTTAGAAAAACGCATTTCCTATAATTAAAAAGAAATCAGACGTCGGAAGAATAATGCTAATAATAAATAGCTACGTGCTAAAAAGTATAGAAGGAAATATTCAATTAAGTATTGACGCTGAC